ACCGTGTACGCGCTGTAAAGACATGCAGGATACCTTATGTTCCCCACTCTCAAGAAAACCATTCTTATGGGAAGCCATTTCAATGTTATGGCATGCCGTACCGTGTACTCGCTGTAAGTCAGTACCGTATGTTCCCCACTCACGATCATACGAAAACCATTCTTTTGGGAAGCCATGTTTCCCACTCTAACGAAAACCGCTCAATAAACACGTTAACTAAACTTACACGTTGGCTAAATCGCTTGGCGGTGATAACGGTGTTGTTTTCGGTGTTACTGATGTATTTTGTGGTAATTTGTTTAAGTCAACCACCTTGACCTTGACCTTTGGGTTAGCATGTCCTGGTTTGGGGTATGCAATCTTCAGGACTTTAGTGTAGCCATCAGTGAACGGTCCATATTCTATGTATGAAAACCACTTCACATCAGTGTCGTCGAATTCCACATATCCCAGATACGAGTCGTCGGGCGAGAACCACATGGCATGCTTTGAGTAGTACACATCCTCTAGTCAAAGGACAAAGAAACTCAAATTAATGCTTGAATACTATTGCGATTAAGATCTGATAAACTCAGCTGTTACAGCGCTACGCGTGCTAATAGAGCTTTGAGCTTTGGCGTAATGTTTTCCCATTATATTCAAGGGCAGATTCAGGGTTTTTTTGAAGGGGGGTCTCAGGGGTAAATTTTGTGGGCAAAGGAAACCCAGTCGCATTTTTACCACAGGAAGCCCATTTGACCTCAGGAATGACAGGGGGTTCGCGACCCCCCCGACCCTCCCCCTGGATCCGCCCTTGATATTTCAAACCACGTAGACGAACGTTAAGTAGAGGACGATATCTGAATGACTACCGATCTCTGATCTTACAGGCTGTTTGTACTTAGTAATAGAGACTTGTGTATTAAAAGATACGATAACGACTCGTTTACGACTTGAAAACTTTCCTTGAATTAAACCAATGACAGTTCTTGATGAGAGAGTAGCAACCACTAGCTAGTAAGGAGGGGGGAGGGGGGGGGGGAGAGGATCTTTAAAAAGATATTGTCTCTCTTGGGTGGAGGGATCTTTAATCTGTCTGTTTAAAAAGATGCAACAAAAAGCGAAAAATAATGAGCGTTCCCCAGTATTAAAACATGAATACACACCTTCGTAAACCCAGTCCGATATACCATTAAAGATCTTATGTTTCTCGCCAGTATCAGTGATGGTACGAGTCTGGTTCTTGACTTCGGGTTTGTAATATATGTTGTTATTTTGCACAAATGCCTAAAACAAGTACACAACATTAGTAAACCTAAATATCATTTTCTTTTAAATTCGTAAAAAGCAAGTCAGGGGGATGGTACAAATGGGAGCAATCTGATTGGTTCCCTTAGACAGGGCTGAAAATCGAGTCAGCGGTTTTTGGTAAAATCGCGGGCTTATCTGCTTAGTATACAAAAATCCCAAAATCAGCTACAAAAGCGCAGAGGATAATTTCATTTCTCGGGTCTTTCTTGGTGTAGCAAGCTTCATTGTATTCTGGTTCAGGGTTTTTGCATTGCAGGGTGTTGTTTAGCTCCATTGTACTCGGCTATTGTAATTTGATTACCTTTGTTGCTCAGGTACCCTGCATATATGAACACCAAGAAAAAAACCATCTCTTAAAGGTTAATAAACCAATTCCTAAGGTTTGTAGAACTTTTAAAATCTTTGTGCTAAAAATACGCTTTTCCTTGAAAATCTCATCCAATTTTTGTGTGAGATCCGAAAGTTTCCAGCGGCCATGTTTGTTTTCTTGGGCAATTCGGCGCATGCGCGTACGCTTTACAACCCACTCGTTCCTTAACGGAGACGCAATCGTTGCCAAAAGTTGAAACGAATTCTACTTTTCGCAAAGATTGCTGCAACTTGTCTCACAACATTTTTTCAAATTGCACTGATACTAATAAAGAACATTAAAGATTTTACCAATGAATTGCCTTTGTTTCCCCATTTTGCCAGTTGAATCTGCTGCGTCTCGTCAGGTGGATCGATTTCCACTTGTTGTCTACGAAACGAAGAAACAAAACTTATGATTAGGAATCAATAGGGCCCAGGGGTATTGATCTGGCCTCAGCCTCGATTCATGGACTCGGCATCGCATGTGAGTAGAACAGCAAGAACTTAGAATCACCGTAAAAGCTTTGTGAAACGTTTTCCACTTACTCCAACGAAGGACTAACGTCCGAAACGTCAGTTTCACAAACCTTTTTACGGTGATTCAATTTATCTACAAGTTCCTGCTGTTTTATTCAGAAACACCGACGCAGTCCACGCTATCAACACATGTGAGTAGAATTTATTAGGGCACTTCCTTTGATTTGAGGATTTTTCTGGATCTCCGGTTTTTCTCCCTCCACAACATGACCCAACATGCTAAATTCGAATTAGATCTGTGAGTTAGCCGTGCCCTTGATCAGTCCTGGGGTTGTTTCAGGGTTTGATCCGTGAGTTAGCGATGCCCTGACTTAAGAAGAGATAACTAGCTAAAAACTAGTGTGAGCTTCTTCGGTGTTTCTAATGAAACAGTAATGATAAAAAGGTAAATTATACACCGTGAAAAGATGAAAAAACTTACTGACGTTTCGGACCGCTAGTCCTTATTGGGAGTAAAAAAACGCCCACGAAGGACTAGCGTCCGAAACATTAGTAAGTTTTTTCTTCTTTTCACGGTGTGTAATTTACCCTTTTATCATTACCGTACTCTGACTTAGATCAGCTCAGAGGTTGTTTCGGAGTTCGATAAAACGGATGACTTTGGTTTTAAAAACGGACAAATCAAGACTAGATGACAGGGCAGAAAAACGCGTTCTACTTTCGACGTTTATCCGTTAATAAGCTTTATATTTCATAAACAGGCTCTTTTGGGGCTGATTAACAAAATACCAAAATTTGGGGAAATTTAAGAAATGCGTATTTGAGATATAACGCCCTGAACGTTGGGAGAGATGATATTTTAATCAGCACAAAAACGAAGATTTTCGCTAATACCTCGAAGTAGGATTGCTCGAGGTTAGCAGAATTTTGTGAAACGCTTAAAGCACAAGAGACACGAATGAAACACCAAACGTTTTTTAGCATGAATGAGAGATAAAGAAAAAAATTGAGAAGGTAGCAGCCTTGTCGTTTTTCTGCTCTGTCAGACTAGATAGGTCGGCTGAAGGTAAAGAACCTCCCCCTCCCCCTCCCTAGCTGCAGTTCAGAGAGACTTACTTCGTATCGATGTTGTATGCAACGTAGTCTGCGGTAAATGATTTCCTGTACAGCTAGAAATTAACCAATCATTGAATTGCAATTCAATATGTGATTAGGCTTCACGAGACAATCCCCAACACACCCATACATGTTAATATCATTATCATTAAAATTACAGCCAATGAGAATGAAGGAAAGCCGTTGATTATTCGGCGGTATTTACACTGTCCCATCCCATCAACCTTTGCGGTGTTTTAGATTTCTAACGAGCCTTCAAACAAGTACTAGTGAGGTTACTAAAAAAATACGAGTGGGATATTCCATAGTTTGAATATTTTATATTTTATTCTAAACCATTGTAACTACATTTGGGCTTGCAATGCCTGATGGGAAGGAACAGTGGAATAATGCCAAATATACAACAGATTTGCTGTATTCTGATTGGCTGTGTAGGATAAATGCTGGTAATATCGTCCCCTATCTACATAAGCTTCAGTTATTTTACCACAATTGTGACTTTTCTTGCTTTCTGATTGGTCTAGAGCCGGTGGAAATAGGAGGGCAAACCGATAAATTACATCAGCAAATCACGCGCGCGCTTGAAACCATTTTCAATTTCTTTTTACGTGGTATGTTCTCTTATTTACCTCTTGTTTCGTTACCTGGCTGTCACAATATGTTGTGGATTCCCTCGGTTACGCCTCATGAATTCATAACATTTTGACGGCTAGATGACAAAAATCAGCCTGGTAAATAAGAAAACATACCAAGAAAAGCTGTAGGACATTGGTTAAATGTACCTTCTTGTAGTTACATGCCAGCAACACCCATTGCTCGTCAGGTGACAACCAGTACGGTGAAGCACTCAGGTTTTGCTGAAAAGAAAAGTACGGAAGAATTCGTAACCTTGGGCGTAATGTTTTCACATTTCATACCACTTTTGGGCGCATCAATTTTCCATTTATACCATGTTTCACTCCTTTGATTATTAATTCTTGACTTTGGACGTAATGTTTTCCCATTTCAGACCACATGTCATTCCCTTGAGTTTTATTCCTTTTACTCTGTGCATGTCTTTCCCATTTCAGACCACGTGTCATTCCCTTGAGTATTATTCCTTTTACTTTGTGCATGTCTTTCCCATTTCAGACCACGTGTCATTCCCTTGAGAATTATTACTCTAGTACCGTAATGGTTTCTTATTACAGACCACGAGTCATTCACTTGAATATTATTCCTTACCTCAGAATGAAGAAGGAAGAAAAAAGGAAGGAAAGATAAAGCAAAAATGCCATTCTCTGATCGATTGCTTACCATGACGGTTGATGGAACAACCAATCTGGTTGTGTTGGTCGAGAGGTCGGTAACTGAAACATTATTCGCTTGGGAAAAAATGAATTTGGAATCTGAAAAAAAAAAAAGATTATTAGATTTTGATGGTATCAAAATGGCTGCCATTATGGAGATCTGAAATGGGCGATCTGAGACTAAACGGATTTTTTGTGCCTCATGTTTTCTGGCTAAAATACGAAAAATCACATTCCTAACTCAAAGATCACACTTCATATTCATATCCAAAAGCAAACTACGTTGTTTGGCTGTGGGCATATTCATTCAGGCCCCGTCCACACTATGTCGGATAAATTTGAATCCGAATTTTTATTTATTCGGTTAGGCCTATCGTCCACACTAGTCCGGGCGAATCCGGAACAATTCTTCACCGAAAACGAACTTTTTCGAATACGGTCTCCAGAGTGGAACAATTTGAAAACACCGGCTAGTAGTATTAGTGTGGACGGAGAACATTTCGTATCCGAATTTTTTCGAATACGATGACGTCATGATTGCCATGGGAACATGGCGGGAAGGCTAAAAATTTACCGCGGGCTCAATTTCAGCTTCGATGCGTATGCTCAGATGTACAATGAAGCGTTTTTGCCGCCTCTGATCGGACTAGTGTGGACGCAAAACATTTTATCCGTTTTCATGTGTGGACGGAAAACTTTTTTTTCGGTTTCGGTGTTAAAGTTGCGGATTCAAATTTATCCGGCATAGTGTGGACGGGGCCCTCAGTCTCAGATTTCAGTCTTCGGATCCCCGACAGACGACGTTTTTTGAAACAGGTTATATATGTGCCGTCATCGCCCACGTGTTGGTATAACGTTAACAAAACAATTCTATCGTTAGCTTTTCTTCAGACGACACGTGATTGCCGCTATGTTGCATTGGGATGTCATCATATCGGGCGCATACATCAACTTAGTTTCGGCTGTGAGCAGTAAGGAAAGTAGCCGGAGGAAGAGATAAAATGTTTGGAGGTTAGTCGGGATTCTCTTACGCCCTCCCCATGGGCAATCTTCGATACGTCAGTACCTAATATGAAAGTTCATTTTTAAGCATTCGCCTTGATTTTGTGCGGAATTATATCAAATCGATGTATTCCAGTTAATGTCTGCGGAATTTCAAAGTGTTTGTATTGTTAAAGTAGTTCATTCTTTTTACCGTTGGTATTTATGAATATTTTGATGCTGAAATGATGCTAACCCCGTGTAAGTGAGACTGTAAAAAAAGGTGATCGCCTCGATTTTTATGAATTCGATAAAGGTGGTCTAGGGTAGGTACTGACCTGATATCCATCTTACACTCGCATATCTGGGAGAGTATTTGTAGTCAAAAAGGTTATCAAACTGGAATCGTTGACGTTTTGAAGACGATGTGGGCGATGGTGATGGTTGTGGTTCTGTATAGAGAAAGTCAATATTCAAATATTATTAAAGTCGTAAGATGTAAGATAAATCCAGAGCTATACTTAGGGGCGAGGTAAAACAATGGTCCAAAATAGGGACCCGATTTTAAGAATTAAGGTGGTGGCTACTGGTACATACCCCCTCCCCCGTCAGAGACCTGTTCAAATGATCGATACTGGGGGTCTGTAGTGGCAATTTCTATACACAAATGTGTTTTTTAGCATACATGCAGACAGACAGTCCATTCATTTCTATGATTTGGCTTTTAGTTTTCGAGATATTTGGAGACAAAATCTAAGATTTCACTTCCAGAGGTGGTGGGTACCGGGTAACACCACCCCTCCCCCCTAAATCGGGTACCGTGAGCTAACAATTGTTTTGCCCTCATCCCTTATGTCATAAGTTATGAGTTATATAGAAATAAGAATCCGTGGCCACATGCATTTTGCATATTAATATCATTAGACACACTATGATTTTAAATCAAATTGCATTTGCTACGCTGTAAAAGGCGTCGACACGGCGGCTATCTTGGATCGCAAGACATTTTGGGGCGTCCAGGGGGCAAATAAAACTTTATTACAGTAATGACGTCGATTGATATTAACAGCTCACCACGAGAGAATACAACAAAAGATGAATAAGGATGGCACATCGATCACCTTTATCCATCAAAGAAATACGAACACACGAAACTCTAAATATTTTCCATCATCTTTTGTTTCGTTTTGCCCCCTGGCAAGATGGCGGCCGTATTGTCGTAGTTGTCCATTATGTGTTCAGTTCCATATCATTTAATTTCTGAGCATTTTACATTAATCTTTAATTTATTCCATAAACTACATTTATTAACTTTTTGTGTATAATTATGTTCAGTGAAACAGTGGCCTATGATTATTTAGCTATCATTAATAGATTTTGTAATCTGTCATGGAAATTTTATGTCGATCAATTAATGGAATAATTGATTCAAATATCCACGGGAATATTGTTGCGTGTGGTGACATTTTTATGGCTTTCCAGTGGAATGTGCACTTAACAATAAACGAGGTAAAAACAGACCAGCCCTCTCCTCTAAAATGTACAGACAGATCATAGCTATAATTTTGATAAAATATTTAAACGAGCGGCCGTTATACCATCGAATATATCTGGAATAAACTGTTACGAGACTGTTTTGTATTTTTCGAGGTAAAATATTAACCACAGCAGATCAATAATTTATACGCCACCTTGACCCCAGAAAGAAAATACTTTTAGTATTTGCAATTTTAATCAATAGAAATCCTAAATCTGTTCATGTTTAGTTCACTTCGATATTCAAATAAGCCATTGATTTAGCTTACTTATTGTCTTGAAAATAAATGATTGAGTAGGCATTAATGAAGCCTACAAATAAGTGTAATAATAACTTGTACACAAACTAAACGATGTAATTGCAATCCAACGCTTCATGCCACGCTAGTCTGTTGTCATCAGTCGTTCTAAAAGCTGTATCTGTTCGTGTTTTTTGCAAACACTTCTGTTATAGCGTGCAACTGAAGCAATTTCGCAGCATTATACGACCAAAAACGAAAGCAAATAGCTTGTTATTCTACAGTTCTTAACCATAGACCTCAATATTACACGGTTCATTACCTTTGGTTGATCGTCTCCAAGTGAGTACAACCGTTAAAAGCACAACACACACGGTCAAAACAACAAGCAGAAAGATGATTGCGAGAATAGTTCGTCTCACGTTAGTCACAGCCATTTTGAGGGAGTACGCTCAGGCGAAGAATAATCTTTTTAGATGCTAAGAGTAGATGAAATTCTGCTAGAAGAGGTGATAATTCATTCGTCCCTGCCACAGTCGAACATGTGCATCGGGTATCTAGGTCACGAGTAACAGGAGATGTTAACTGACCTATACTGACAACTCAGCTCAAGCTTATAATGCAAAAATGACCTTTTGAAATTACTCTATCCACAGATTATGTATCGCTAGTTACGCCCTGATTATCCTACATAATTCATAGTTTTAATAACAAATAGATTGAATAATTTCTTTTTGTTTTGCTAATGGTTTTACTAATGGCCATTCAGCGACCCTTCAAACACAGCATATATTTTTAAACTGTCGCATTCAGTTTAACCCCTTTACATTTTATCGATCACGAAATTTGATTGCATTTTTGGGTGAAAGTGGTAATGCGTGTTCCTTTAAAAATAAGCGGCTCGAAAAATTTGTTGAGCCAAAATAAAAACTATTTTTTTCTTCAATGTGTGATCCTGATCGTATGAGATCTAGTGTCAAAAAGTAAAGTAAAGTACCTATATTTAACGTCGGTAGTTCCTTTAAGTTGAAATTTAACTGCTATCAATGGAAGCCGACGGTGCGCACTTTAACCCCCTCTCTCCATCAGTTCTATGTTTCAAGAGTATTCAAAGCTGAAGCTACACGGCAGCTCACACTTGTTTTTAGCTAGTCATCTCTTCTTATGACAATATACTGAGATATTTGATCAAAAGGGGATGTGTGTGGGGGGGGGGGGGGGGACTAGTTACCCTTTTTACCACCCCTTGATACGCCCCTGGACAAGAGAGGATTAATGAATAAAGCTATCTAGCTATCTAGGAAAACAGCTAAAATTTAAAATTACCTGGGAGTTATTTCAAATCAGACAGTTTCTTCTCTGACATGCTGTGCAAACTGTTGAAAGGCGTCTCTAAGTCGTTAACGGTAACCAAACAACGCGCTGTTCAAACCAAGTCTTGTAACTCAGTACAACATTTCTATAAACTTGTCTTGTCCTTCAAAGCGCATACACATAACTAACTTTGTTTTACGAGCTATCTAACTTTTGCTGCTATAACTCAATTGAGACTTCAACAGTCTTCTTGCGACGTACGCATTCCATTCCACTCTACGCTTCCGCTAGGCTTCAAAAATCATCCTCGTTGCCATAGAGACACAGCATGTACTCCTTAATTACTCTAAGTATATCTTATAGTTTTTATACAAGTTCTTTAATATCTTTTTTTGTAACCTTAGATGATTTTGTAGGTCGCAAACTCTTCGCTGCCTGCCTCATAATATAGCAAACATGGCGGTATAACTTGAAACTTTGAAAACATTCCTAATAAGCCCGTCAGTTTCACAATTGCAGAAACGAGGATGAAGAAATAATCTATATTTAATACATCCATAAATAAAGAATAGTAATATTAAAGAAAGAACATCCGATCTTCTAAACTTTTTAGATTTAGATTCAGTGAGCAGTTTTCTTAATATAATTACAATTATATCAGAAGTTCTAAATATTATTGAAAGATTATTGAATGTTTAAACAAAACTCGGCGTACGCTTTCCCCATTGGTTCCTTATCATCTCGACTCAAACTTTTCCTGCAAGTCTAGTAAATCTAAAGATATTTCCTTGTCTCGTGGAGTGCCTTTGCTGGAAAGTTTATCGACAAAAGGCAAAACGTAAATACGAGGCAAAACGTAATACGAGGCAAAACGTAATACGAGGCAAAACGTAAATAAGAGCCAAGACTAATAGAGTATCATAGCTCTCAAATGAATTAGTACGTTTGATATCGAGAATATGAATGACGGCCTTTTTAACAGATCACAGACGAGAGCACGCGTGCTCTATGTATACAAAAACGTACTGTACCTTGGCTTGACTTGTCCGAATGTTTTTGTGTTACGAGTACGACTAGAATTACCACCACAGACGCCAGCACAAGCAAAGGCACAAATATAGTAAGAAGTTTCTTTCTTTGGGTCATCGCCATCTCGACAAGTTAATGGATGCTAGGCTAAGCCTGAGGGAAGAAAACTTTCAACGCTTGCTAGGTACGCCGTTGCGTTACAGTTCATTTATATAAGAATTTTTAAGGGCTAAACATTAAACAGATGTCAAAAGCTTGAGCGGAGTGAAAACAGAGACAAGAGAAATGTCATAGGTCTACGGATCGACAGATTTTGCAAATAATATTTAGCTTATTAGATTACAGATTCAGATTAACGAAATGGTAATGGTTTGGCGGATCCTGCAAATGCAGCGGATTACGGATTCAACCATTTTTCAGGAACGGATTTCTGTCTGTTATTGCACGTTATAGTTTGTTTTGAGGAAACTGTCAAGTGATTTGCAGATCCGAATTTGAGCAACTGTTTTTGTCGACTGAGAGATTCGTGTATTAATTTTTGCGGCCGCGATCAACAGATTTGCAAACCCTATACACCCCCATGCGGTTCATCACAAGAGCTCCTTTGCAGCCGTTCTTAGGGTCGTCACGCAACGTTGCGTGACGACCCTAAGAACGGCTGCAAAGGAGGCTAGACGGAACATTTATTACCTTTCAGTACCCATTAGCAAGATGGCTGCCGTATAGTCGAAGAAGTCCATTGTTTTAGGGTATTGTAAGGCTCTTTATAGATTTACGCCGTGTAATGAGTCTAGCACATCGATGACGCTCTACTGTTGACATTACATTCAGTGAAAATCAGTTTTATTCAGTGTTCTGATGCTACGTTCAGTGACTTGTAGTGCAATTTATGAGAATTAATTATCTTAGTTCAATGCGCATAGCACAGTAGTTATCTATCACACACTGATATAGTTATTCTAACACTACAGTAGATCAGTCGTAGTCGTAGTACGCGAGGCAGTAGCGTTCTCAACCTTCATATCGGCTGTAAAGAAAAATAAGAAGTATATTTTAGTTAATATAGATAGTAATCATGGCTTATAAATATAAACCTTACAATAACTATTTCAAGGGGGTGTTGTTGGAGCCAAAGGCGATGCGTAAGTCGACAAGCGATAGGCGATAAGCTATTCTTCGTTTGCAATAGACGTCATAGCCGCCATGTTGGAAGAATTTGACAAAAGATTTTTCAATTAATTCTTTTATTATAGGCAGGCAGGCAGGCAGGCAGGCAGGCAGGCAGGCAGGCAGGCAGGCAGGCAGGCAGGCAGGCAG